ATATTTCAGGAAGCATAGTTGATTTGAAATATAAATAAAACATATTTATTACCTTTTACCTATGTATAAGTAATGAAGATAACAAACGTCATTTGAAATTAGTGGTGTATTGAAAATAAGTACGCCTTTTTTCTATTTCTGTATTTGTATAATTTATCTAGTAAAACTCTTTAAATGGTATGGTGTTTGTGAAACAATATAACTGCCTAGCCAGGACACCTAAATTTAACGTTTAGCAAGGAGTTCCTCCATTAACCACGTAACGGCAGTTTAAGGGAGTAATAAAGCAGATGGAATCTAACTATAGGAAATAAATACAGATGCTTTAAATAAACCAACACGACTACCTATCCACCATGACCCAACTACTAAAAATATTACTTTTATGAACTCTGAAAGTCAGGGGAATGGAGTTACACTTTTGGAACCATTAGTGCGCCATATTTTCTTTTTTTTTGGGGGGGGGAGACGTCAGTCGTACTACATTGCACCAGTAGTTATTTCGAATTCTGTACTTGTAATTATGATTGATCAATGCACGTTCAAAAAGTATTAGTTGCTTGATATTTATATAAATCAGTTAGTTACTAATAGTTCATTCCAATATCGAAACTAAAACTAAATTCTGAATTGTAATATTAATCATATGTTAAAATATATACTTAGTATGCTTGTTATATATTAGCCTAATGAGGACGGGGGTGATATTTTATGTCTTGTCAATATATATATATATATATATATATATTATTTCCAAAATTATCACCAAAAGCTGCTCAAAGGGCTCTGAGCATAGTTTTTACTAATTTTGAACTGATAGACTAAAAGTAAGACAGACAGCTTGCCAACAACACCAACCGCCAACCAGTAAACTATTCTTGTCTGAGCAGATAGTGGGATTTAACCGTCACTCTTATATCGCACTAATGGCCCTAAAGTGAGTAGAGCGCTTTTGTGGCACGAGCCGCAAACTATGAAGCCTCAGATCTACAGAATGATCATGCTAGCCACTAGGCCACACCTGGACCCTAGTCTTGTCAAAACTTTTAAAAATGATTCACATAATTCATATAAAACATAACGTATTTTTACCAGCATATAATATACTGCTTGTGTTTTTTTAAATGTTTAAAAATATACATTTAGATACTTCCCCAGTCTATTTATACACTTGTAGCTAAGGTAAAAATATTAAAAATCGTATTACATTTTCGGAACTAAAGATGAAAAGTGCTATTCGATAAAACTGTTAAGTATCAAAATATAGTTTTCGAGTCGTATTTTCTGTACATGTTATAATGAATTTCTTATTCTAATTGAAATATTAAAGACGATCAAGTATTCTTGCTGGTCTGGAACACTACCTTACAAACTACATTTCTTTCACACATTCAGTTATAATATTTTAGAAGTAATTTAAATTTTAAAATGTATGTGATGATAGTTTAAAGCAGACATAAAACTTCGTTAATCCCAAGACATGGAAATAAATTCACTCAGTAAAGTAAGTTGAAAAATATAGTTACAAGATAATTAAAAATTGTTAATGTAAAAAGTGGAATGGGGATCGTAAACAAATTAAGAAACCAGTTGAATCAAAATGCAAGGATTATATTTTCAGTCCTACAACTAAGGGATCTAAAAAAATTAAACAAACTAGATTGGAAGTAGTGTCTACAATATTTTATCAAGCTACAAATCCTTGTTTCTATTTTGTCTCCATGTCTACAGTACTTATAAATTTAATTTTTTTTTTGTGAGATGTACGTTACATGTCTTTATGTTTTCACATAAATGTGTATAATATTTTCACCTAGTTTGAAATGTTTTGTGCAATTTGTGTAACATTCTGATCAACAGACAACTTTGCATTTTTCCAAAGAAATCCTTACTACAATATTACATTTCAATATGGTAGATTCTGTTCAAGCATAACGTTTAGAAGATAATCAAGGAGGTAATATTGTGTTATTTTGTTACCTGTTTTAATTTAAAACTAAAATATAAGAGAGAGACTGTGACAAGTATGTAGCATTGCATTTTCAAAGATTTATTTTTACTATGACATGTATCGACTATGTAATTATTATATACCTGCCCAGAAGAATGTTTACAGATTAGTTAAGAAGATCATTTTGTCGTTAATTACATATTTAATAAAACATACTACGCTTCCACATCATACTATTTTTGGTCATCATGATTATGTTTTACATCGTACAATTTTGATTGTTCCTGATCATTTTTTTCGATCATATAATATTGGTTGTTTCTGATTATTTTCTTACATCACACAGTCTTGATTGTTCTTTATTATTTTTTTACATCATACAATCTTGTCTGTTTCTGATTATTTTTTTACATCACACAGTCTTGATTGTTCTTTATTATTTTTTTACATCATACAATCTTGTCTGTTTCTGATTATTTTCTTACATCACACAGTCTTGATTGTTCTTTATTTTTTTTACATCATACAATCTTGTCTGTTTCGGATTATTTTTTGACATCATACAACCTTAGTTGTTCCTCAACCTTGCAGTTTACCTGTCACCTTTGAATTGTACAGCACATTTTCCAGGTAATAATATGCAAATAAGGCCATCTGTATTCATTACATAATTGAAACAATATACCTTAACTAATATCTACAATGAAATGTACTAACATTTGCAGTTCATTTCATTCCCAGTAAAGTGAGTCTAGACAAACGTCAAGACATAACTATGCATTATTACAAGGTCATTACGCAATCATCTGCATTTAATGTTAATGAAATACTTGAGCTTGTCACTATATCAAAAATAAAGAGCAAATTATTGTCTACATCTGTGCTAATTTATACAATTATATCACTAGATGCACGATACTTTCAAAACTTTGAAGTATGCCGCCTTATTATTACAGTTAATTGTTTCCAGATCCGAAAAAAAACATCAGTTCTGTGTAACAATGAGAGATAACAACTCTATTCTATTAGAGTAGCCCAAGAGTTGGAGTTGGGTGCTGTTGACTTACCGCTATCCATCTAATCTATCGTTACAAAATTAAGAAGGCTAAAGCAGATACCTAGCGCGAATACCTGAAACAAACAAAAATAAGAAATGACCTGTAATGAACATTAGATTCTACATACTTTTTAACAATATATTTTTTATTTTGTTTTATTTATTGAAAGTTTTGCATTAGGTATAACATAACAATACGTTTCATGACGTAAGTCCATTTTTATATTATCTTAAAGTATAAGGGATGTAATTATGTAATGTTTATAATGTGTAACCTTATATAAACAATAACGCTGTAACATGTGGTCAAACTTGTCAAAAAGTATCCGTGGAGTTTATTATATATATATATATATAAAACACTGTTACTAGTTCCTTGTTATTAGCTGTTACAAATCAGGAAATTCGCAGTGTCATCCGGCTTTAACCTATAATTATAATTTTTATCGTACGCTTACAAGAATTAATTCTTTCTTTAAAAATAAGTAATTTAACATAAATATATAGATGTAACGTACTGTGCGTGAAGGTACTTTTTATCAGTTATAACTTAATTTTCACTTCATAAATTAATATGACTTAGTTTACTCTTGAGACCGACACGAAAGGCTCACAAGACCTACATAACACTTCTCAGCATAAGTTGAAAGCAATGCGAAAAAACCCAACAGACGAATAATATTTTTTGTGCTAGTGAACTATAATATTTGAAACAAAGTTCCAACGCCCCCTAGTGGCACAGTGGCATGTCTGCGGACTTACAACGCTAGAATCCGTGTTTCGATACCCGTGGTGGGCAGAGCACAGATAGCTCTTTGTGTAGCTTTGTACTTAATTACAATCAAAGTTCCAACAATTTTAAATAAACTTTCAAAGTCAACCTATTGTTAAAATTTACACTCCCAGGTTTCGTCTTTTTAATTCACGAAGAAAAGTGTACTAGATCAAAAAACTAACTTACAAAAACTTGTCTTTTCCTTACAAAAGAAAAGGGAGGGGAAGCTTATATTTACATTAATTTTTCAATTTATTTTATGCCAGAAGGGTGAATGAATACACAAAGCAACAGTTACTTTTAAATGGTACCGAGACATGAGATTAGGGACAATTATGTTTTAATTAACAGACGCTCCAGATTTTGGTTTCAAAGACAATAAGAATAACTTTGAATTTGTTAACGCTGTTAATACTGAAATGAACCTTCAGTTTAAATCATGTTTCAATAACAGTCATTTGTGAGAAAATAAACTGACAAGGATCAGACAAGATGTTACCTGCACGAAGCAGCATAAGGATTTTTCTTTATTTCTATGTAGTATCTCAAAGACGTGAAGGTCGATTGTCATCAAGCTTGATTACTTTTATGATAAAATCAAAAAGATAAATGGCGTAAGAGTAGAAATACAGATATACGGCACAAGATATTAACAGTAAAGAATAGAATGCCCACACTCATGGCAGTCTAAACTGGGAAATGTCTTGAACGTCCTTGCAGACCACTAAAACTCGTGGTAGTCTAAAGTTAGACTAAAGTAACGTATTTAGGCTTAGATTTTTTGTTTTGTTTTTTATCCCCAAGACACATTTCAAGTTACATTCTGTGATACTACTGTTTTTTCTATAAGTTATATAGCAAACTATGAGTAACAGACGTAACCTCACAATTGTGAAGAAGTCGGCAAAATTCGCTATTTTAAAGGGTGTTAGTAAAGCCCTCTATCGATTAGTGATTTATATAAGTCAGAAAGCATTGTGAAGATAACGGTGACTGAACGTTCTTATTAACAGCAGCAAAATATTCCACGCGAAGCATGTGGAAATATAACAGAAAATATTAAGCTCTATTTTACAGAAACAAATATAAAGATAAAATAAATTGTCTCGAGTTATAAGTATTATCAAACTAATTAATGATTTATTTTCCTACATTAAATTTCTTCAACTACATGAACATGGGAGCAGTTAAAATTGCTTATGTTGAGGAAAACTTACCCTGGCTGGTCACGCCACTGATGTCCACCAAAATAACCATAAGAAGCAAACAAAATCCCCAATCCAAGGTTGTACCTATGACAGCCATCTTGACCTAAGCACTGTGTTTGTATGTATGTAGGTGTCAGTAAAGTCCTATCTTGCGCCGGGTATCTGTCCTCCCCGGGCAGCACAGCCCCGGTTCTTCTAGCACAAGTGTCTATATAAGTCTTAAAATTAAGCCTGTAATACACGAGGCACAGTTTCGGAAACCTAAGCCATCGTGCATCCAGGAGTTTGGCCACTCCCTAAACCAGCCCCATTCTTGTTTCATTTCACTTTTACCCTTGTAACTTGCACGTCAGTCTGCGCAAAGAACCCAGCGCGTGCACAGTAAAACTCAAAATTAAACTATTCCATAGATTTTTATTCCAATTCTTACACTGTTAAAACTGGGTGATGAGCCATCAATTTTGAGATTAAGTTCATTATATTTCTTTATTTCATAAAATCTCCACTTATTTTTTTTATTATTATTATTTTGTAATCGATAAAGCTACATCTGCTTCTTTCGGTAAGCTTCTAGTACAGAAGGTATATTAGAGGAAGGATCCATACTACCCACGGTTGCAAAACGTAGCATCTGCTGCCAGAAATATCCCCTACTTTATCGTGATACGCAACCATATAAGGTGTCACAAGCATAACTACACTCGCTCACACTAGCAGCATGTGGCATGCTACAGGAAGAATTGTACACAGTCACCTTGGACTGGAACGTTGCCGGTCGCGAAAAAATTCTATCTTCTTTGGTTTAGTCTGATGAAGAAGAAGATTCTTCCCACGGTTTTAAAAAGGTGACATAAGCAAATAAATACAAGGAACTTTCTTTATTCCTATTCGTGTTCAAATAATTCCCAAACAGAAAATACTAGATTCCTGCATAATGAAAAGAAAGGTTTGTGTAAACAAATCGCTTTCTAGCAGTTTCCTTACTTTATTCATAAAATATTAACAGAATATTATTTAGTTATAATTTAAAGTAATTTCTTATAGAGCAACTTCATGATATAATTAATTTATGAAACTTGACGAATAAACGCATTTTTATCAGAGTTATATTTCATAATACTAAAGATAAATATAAAGTCCAATCTATCATTTGATTCATCTCTTTTCACTGAATTATACCGGTTTCCACTCCTCATCAGTTACCCTGAACAGCGACAAACCGAAGTAATGAGACCAAGCTTCTTATAACGGTAGAGCATTTATCACATATATATTTCTCCAAAATATATATATGAACATAGGTTCACTGTAGTGGATAAAACACAACTCATAACATCATACATGTAATTTATTTCACAATATCCAGTTAAATAAATAACAATTAATTTGATTTATTTTTGTAATTCACAAATTGTACAATAAATGAGCAAGTGCAGTGTCTTATGATTTAAAAAATATTTTATACATACTAAATATACCGAAAACTGGATTCGTGTAAGTTATAGGATTAAACCTATTTATTTCATTTGACGGTTCTGTCAGTCATTTTTATTAGTACAATTTGCCCCATGATATATAGCATAATTCTATAGTATCTTTTATTGTGTAATACACTTTTATTCACATAATCTTGTGTTTTTTAGATTAAACGCAAGTTATATACTTGATAAGTTTAAACTTTTGAAACTGAATACTTCGTTGTGATGACTTTCATAGGGGAGTTCAAATATAGAATAACAAGTAATATATCAAAAATTGTATTTTCTTCGTAAACAAAACTTGATTATATTAGTGCAAACAGCATAATCACGTGACTAATTCTTACCATATCACTTTTCAAATGTATCACGATTCCAAATTAGAACATATGGTCTACTAAAATTTACGCACGTAATTACTTCAAGAGAAATAAACATATATCAATCAATACAATACTTTGATTTATCGTCTCTATAATAAGTTCTGCTGACAGTTTTACGTATTTCAGTATTAAGTCAAAATAAATATACTGCACATATGTGTACAACTTAAAAGGACGCTAGAGACCGAAATGATTATTTACGTGGGCTGTATTTGATGCATCGTTAAAAATAAAATAACTGGATGAAATGTGCGCAGAAGATTCCAGAAACGGAAACGAGGGAAAACAGTTTATACGTTTCTACTAGCTAGCGTAACGTGATGATAAAATTGTAAAATCTGCCATGTTTTCTGTACACTTAATATTTGGTTGACCTATTAAGATCACACACCTTAAAATTTGCAAATGTGGGAAATATTATAGTAAAATGTAAAACAATGGTCCAATTTCTGTATTTTATGGTATTTTTTATGTAGTTCTTATATCGAAAATGGCAATTTTATACGCACGCCGATTCACTGTGTATACAATTTCTACTAAAAATATATAAGCTATATCAAAAAGATGGCCTTTTAAGTAATTGTAAGTGACAGAAAATTTCACGCAGAGTTATTAATAATTTATCATTTCTTTTTGATGCTTTGATGTTCTCAAAAAATGCCAGCAAAATAAATTCTAACTTCACAAATGCAATAATTGATTAAATTCTTTGCAATAAAAAGTCTCATAACATACAATCAGACAGTATTTTACAGCCACTAATTTTTTCGACTTTTTAACAAAATATTTCATGCTATGTTGATCATACTTGACATTAAGGGTTATTACTCTTTTGCTAAAGAACATAGGAACGAATGTAATTAATATTTTAAAGTTATTATTGGAAAACTTAGCAAAATATACTGTGTTTCACTTATCACACATTTTCATGTGAGATGAAAAAGGCTAAAAATAAATAAACTGAACCATACGTCTATTAATGATTTTTCAAAATTTATTGAAGTTTTCTGCGGAAAATGTAGTGTTTTCAGTTTGAACAACACCTTACGCTACACAGGGACTAGATGACAAATTCAGGTACTTCACAGTTCAGGCATAATTTGGAATGATAGTGTTTTAGCATAGTGATTTATTGTATAGCAGATAACATAACATTTGAGCTTTTACATGGCCAGTTAACCTGCTCAAAGATTTATAATCACTAGCCTGGATTAATTTGAGATTTAGTCTCAACACTTCTGATTATCAACATATTCTCTGCAAACTATTTGAAGAATATATGTTTCTAACACTTCTGATAGTAAGTTATCTAAATTCAACACTGAGTTGGTCGTGGCCCAATGGTTAACATGCCAAGCTACAAACAGTAAGGCTTAAGGTTAAGAGTGGCCGTGTAGGCGGTGGTTGGGTACTAGTGATTAGTTGCTTTCTGTCTAGTCAGCAGTTTTAAAAATTTAGGGACAACCAAGTCTGTTAATAACTTTCTTCTAAACCAAAATGGTATTTCTTGATACATATTTGTGCATATTTACACAACTATCAATAAATAAATACAAACCTACTCCAAATGAACACCACTTTATTAAATACACAAGTAGTGCCTATTTAAATATTTAAGAAAACAGAAACACGATTACACATCATACTTAGAAGATCTAAATATGGTCCTGTATGACTACATCCCCAATTTTGGCGAATAAATTGAATGATATTGTTCATAGAAGTTGTTTGCTTAGGACAGGACAGGACAGTGGCTTCTGTGATGCTAACTGGTGGCGATATTGTCCGGAGTGAGAAGAGTGGCTTCAATCTATTTACCCTCACTGTGGCTCATGCTACGGGGTTAACTTTTGATGGTATTGGGATACACCTACACCTTTCCTTGGATCATTCTCAACACTGTACCTCACATCACGATGAGTCTGTTATGTTCTATTAGGGCACCAGGCCTTAAAGACACTATTCCATTCAGTCGTAATTGGAACTGATGTATCACTTTATTCACTATTGCAAGTAACCTGGCAGTTTCTCGCTGACTTTGATTGTCCTCCCATTACTTAAATATGACACCATGAAAATACAGTTAATTTACGAGCTATATATATATATGAGGGTTATTTGCATATGGCATTAAGGTGATAATCGATTGGTATTCTCAGGGTGTCTATTTACTAATTTATAGACTATGTATATATAAATCCCACGGTGTGTCAGCGGTAAGTTTATGGACGTACAACTCCAAAATCCGGGTTCGATTCTCCGCGGTAGCCATAGCTCATTGAGTGGCTTTGCGCTAGAACAAACAATAATTTCCTTGTAACATGCATTGCTTTTCACTTTTAAATTTGATTTGCGATCTCAACGTAAGAATGTAGTTTCGAGATTACAAGATCAGGGAAAAACTGCATAAGAACAAATATTCTGCCCATGAAGGTCACCCCAAATCTGCAAACTAAACACGAACTCATTTCAAAATAACTTTTATATGGCTGACTGGTAGCTTACTCTAATTACCAGACGTATTTTAATGTTTCACTCCTTCAAATCAAGGAAGGTTAAATAAAGTATGTTCTACAATTGTTACTACCCCTTCCCTTCCCCCACTAAAAAAGTTTTTTTTTTTATTGTTTAAAGAATCATATTGCATGTGACATCTGTATGTATATACCCCGTGTCGTTGTTTTTGTGGATCGAAACTTAGTATGGCCAATGATCCTAGGTTATTTTACGTACACTTCGAAAAAGAACTCTGTAGTTCTGTCAAAAGTTCGAAATTTCTCGTGACTTCTACGACAAATCTATCATGAAGCAAAGCTAGCATACATATTTTCATTTGTCAATTTAAGAAAACCCATTAATCAAACGTTTTCAGAAGATAGGATTTTATATATTATATATACATGTATATATATATATATATACATATATATATATATTAGTATAGTTTCTATTATACTTTACTTATTTTCTCCACATTGTCGATATTTTCTGAATAATTCGGAAAATACACCCACTATTTACTGAAAATACAACTTGCAGCAATACAAAGTAGCAGTGAGGGATTAGTAAGCTTGATCGTATTACAATCACTGTCATTGGCCACAGAAAGTCAGAGTTTTGCCTTTTGAATGGTATTTAGGGTGTTTGTTTTATAGCAAAGCCACATTGGGCTGTATGTTATGCCTACCGCGGGAAATCGAACCCCGGATTTTAGCATTGCAAGTCTGTAGACTTACCGATGTTCCATCGGGGAAACTTTTTGAATGGACTGCTTTTGCCTGTTTCGGCTCTGTACAGAGGGTTTCTTCGACGTGAAGGCCTCGGCATAAACAACGAAATGTCGGTTCGCTCTAGAAACAGGTAGGAGCAGCCCATTGAAAATACAAATCTCTGTCATGTCCACACGCTACTTAAAATATCATTGAAACAACATTACAGAAGTCAGAAAATGAAACTTTTAATTCAAAAACACTGCATGCAAGATGATACATTGTTATAGCTTGATAAAACATTTTAACCTCCTTTACTTAACAAACAATAAGAATCATAGTCCTTACAATACAAAAGTTATCCGTAAAATAAAAATACAAACCTAAAATTAAACATACAACAGTTATTATAACTACACGTGAATAATGAACTGCATGTCTATTACACAAGAAAACAAACTTGTTCCTCCAAAGTAAACACAAGGTTAAATAAAGTAGAAAACATTAGAATTATCACTGGTTTTAACAATCTTAACTGCATTTTATTTTATTTTCATAAATAAAATTATTTAATTGCGTATCTACTGTTTTATATTCTGCCTTTAAGTTGAAACAGTGTTCGTATTTCTGTATCTTTGCATTCCGATAACCATACAATTTAATAAGTACATATTGAATGTAACGCAAGAACAGTGTTAGTTCTTAAGTTTCTAACACTCCATTGGTTCTATACTTGAAACAATAGGCAAGAAAAAGGGTAAAGTCCTAAAAAATATTTGCATAAACGTATCTATTCTTTCCGTGAAGAAAATAAATTTTATACTAACTTTTTCTGCACAGATTAACAAAAGCTATTAAAATATGTTTGTTTGAAGTTCAGCACAAAGCTACACAATGGGCTATCTGTGCTCTGCCCACCACAGGTATCGAAACCCGGTTTCTAGCGTTGTAAGTTGGCAGACATACCGCTGTACTACTGGGGGGGGGGGGCGTTGAAATATGTAAAAATAATAAAAGCTAAACATTTTCGTTTCTTTCAAATTTATAGTGTCTCATTATAAATAAATGCAACAATACATTAGAAGGATAAAAAAACACTTAAAATATATGTTTATTAGAAATTATAGCTATACGGCGTTTCTAGTTATTAATAAACGTAATTATCCTAATAGAGAAGAAAAAAGCCAAGACTATTGCTATACAGGATGATTTATAATTCGCGCAACATTGTAGGAGCGTCGCCAAAATTCAAAGGTATGTGGAGGATGATACGTAAAGGTAAAATTTTTATGTTTGGCTACCAGAGTTTTCCAGGTATAGAGAGACTGGATATCTATGCTTCCTCAATAGTCATAGCAGAAGAAAAAAAAAATACGTGCTAAGAATGTCAAAGTGTACGCTTGCAAAGCACACAGAGCTAATTTTGCTGCGTGGCACAAACGTACGTAACAATAATGCAACAGCTAATGCTTTCCCTAGCAGGCTCCCTGACAGAATAACGATTCCAAGAAAAAACCGGAAGCTGAACAGTTGACACTACTAACGACACTCTGGTGGCCAAATAGCGCATTAAAGAATGTCTCTGTCACATATATTTTCTCTCTTCACATAACATCTTTCACGATCTTTTTAGTTTTCACGATACTCTGACAATATTGTGCGAATTATGAGTCACCCTGTATATATCAGGGTAAAAATGTTTTAGGTACCTTTTGACACTATGTTAAAGAACGCGAACTTTATAAGCTAGATCAGTATTCTAAAACCTCAAAACATTACTTTTGATACTAAAGTCCAATTCGCAGTTGATTTTGTTAATTATGTACTTTTCAAAATATAAGCAAGATAAAAACAAATTATGAAATGTAGAGTGCGCATAAATGATAAATGAATACCGAATGAGTAGAATGGACCTATTCTAGAGAACATTAATATCATGACAAAAGCATTGACAGATTAGTTGTAAATCTCAAGTTATTCTGAAAATAATGGTATCATTTTATTTAAAATTAGTATTCAAAAATACTTTACAGTTATTGAAGACATTATTAATTTCCTACATACGTCATAAGAAAATGTGTTTTATAAACGATAGAATTCTTCAATTTTTAATGTTGTTTACTATTAAGTAAGTATTTCGATATAAATTTAAACAAGCAGTTATTTTATTTCGAAGTGTTAAACACCAAAAAGTGGGCTATCAGTTTATATTCCTTCGCCTGCTTTCAACATTTGACGTCGCAGCGTTGGATGTTTTTTACTGTATATAAGTAGCATTTCAGAAACTTGGCTGCTATAGTTCGTAATGAACTAATTATGAAGAATGTCGGAAAAAACATTCGAGGTCGAACGTGATTTTCAAGCATTTTTATTTAACTGAAAGATTCGAATTTTGGATAACAAAGGAAGTACAGCCAGTCTTTAAAAAATCAAATAAAAGTTAAAACTTACCTCTCAAAGAGCTGGCATTTTATCTTCTTTTTATTGTGTTACTAATTCTATTAAAGTTACTTACGTACTCATTCAAAACAAATGTTATTATTTTCATAACTAGTTTCAGAAAATAGAACTGATAAACGTGGTGTGGTCATTAGTCCGTAGCTATATCTATTATTTGCGAAATATACGTTATTATCCAAGTTTTGCAATTAATGTTCATAAAGCACTGTGATTTAAACTAATAATATCTATAAGACTGTTAGAGAAAGTTATTAATCTTCCTTTGTATTTTGGGTAATACTTAAAGCTTTATTGGCAGCATTAAATTTAGACCAGTAATCTAAGTTTAAAAATAATACTTAGAAACATCTGACAAAAGCATATGGTAAGACATGAAAGTAAAACTGAAATTGAACACAGCTGTGTTAAAAACTGTATTAAATATTTTGAAATTCAAACTTTTACCAAACACAGTGACAGAATCGAGCCATGACAACAATATACTTAAACTATATAAATTGGGTTTGTATTTATTGCACGAAAAACGTATTGTTTGTTTGGTTTTGTTAAGCGCGAAGTTGCGCATTGGGCTATCTATGTTATGCCCACTACCCGATATTTAGCATTGTTAGCCCTCAGAATTACCGCTGAGCCACTGGAGGGCCGAACTATGTACTTAAGTTGTTACTACTAAATAGAGTGAAACATTTACTCACATTTATGCTTAAGTTACGAAGTCGGTGTTAATAAGACACTTATGGAAATTTAATAAATTCATTTTTTATTCTTTGAAACTTTTAGAACACGAATGTTAAGAAAGGAAGAGATCTATGTTGAATCACTTTTAAATAATGTTTAAAGAAAACTGATTATATGTCATTAACGATGAACGATATTATATCTTAAATATTTACATTACATAAGAATAATAATATATCTTCAAACACTTAAATACAATTCATTCATCAGCTAATCATTAAAATTAACAAGCAGAACTCTCTGTCTCGAGGTTTTCCTTTTCAAAAAAATCACAAAGCAGCCCTTTTCCGGCATCTTCCAGCAGCATATCCTGAAATATAAAGCATTCGCATAAAAATCGTACATTAACATTTCATAAGAGTTTCAGTTAAAACCTTATTCAGCCTTTGGACCAATAAATTTGGGCCTAAAACAAAATTATACTGTATAAAATACAAGATATACATTTTAGGGATTAAGGTGAAAGTTATGTACTTATTATTAAGATAAAAAAATCAGTACAGCATTTATATATTTTCTTTCAAGCATTTTCAGAATTCCATTTATTCTCCCAATTACACTGTTCAGTTTATAGTTTTACCAATGAAGAAACTACTTTTGCTCTTTTATCGATCAGATCTAATGTGAGGGGTAAAACAACTTTAATGAAAGAGTTTTGATCTCCGCCAAATATATAGACAATCCTATTCATTCTAGTCATTTCCCGGGCATTTTCAATTTTACCCCAAAACTATTCTACGATTAGAAATCCTTGAGAAGATCAGTAAAACAAACAATTTCTAGCACTATTTCGATCGTACCAATTAGCTCGCCCTAATATGTAATGTAAAATCAACCTCCAAGACCAACAACCTAATACCCTTTTCTATTAATGTCAACAAAATAGTTTCCAAAATTGCAGACACGTCAACTAAGTTTCTCAGTTCTTTGTTTCCATCGACTATCGTCTTTCAGAATTTGCAATGTGATTTTTATATAGCTTCTTTCATTTAGTTATAGTCACTCAAACTTCTTTTTATACCAGCTACTGTAGCAATCTAGTCTCCTACTACATGTTCTAATGTTAACACCTTAACGGGCATCGATTCCTATTTTGGATTTCATTCTTGTTTCTGATTCTATTAAATTCTGATTCTGATTAAATTTTTGTTATGTTCTATATTTACGAGTTGATTGTTGTTTTCACTCTTCTCTTTATTTAATAACATACGTTTCATAATATTAGAAAAGGTCAGTTTTTGCCTCGAGCATCCTTAGGCCGCACCTGACTGACACGAATTTGTTCACTCTTCAATGAAAAGACCAAACTTATATTGTCCACTCTTACATGTTATTTAATTGTAGTCTATGAAAACTTCAAATCACGTACAATTAGTTTTATTTATGATTCTGACTATTCTAAAATCGTACAAAATACCATGAAATCTGGTCGTATTGTGTCAGTGCATTTTACTTGTAAGTTTAAAAATAATTTTGATTTTAAGAATCATATTGCATTCTGATGAATATTGTTGAAAAAATATCACGGAGTTTTAGTATTAATATTATTATTTTTCAAAGATCTTTTTCTTTAACATCTAAAATTCTCAGGGTATATGCTTCTGAGTGTATTACTAATTTATACCCAGATAACCTCACAAAATAACTTCAAATTTTGCTTACAAATATCATGAAAATATTAACCTTTGTTGTCACAAGCCTCGATGTCAAATAACTTAAATTATTTAGTGAGCAATAATGAAGTGGTTTCAAACACTGTTTTCGTACTTTTGTAGAAGCACTTTCCAAGAGTAACATATTTGATTTTAAAATTTGTAATTTTATTATATCTTTGAAGTACTATTTTAGCGTATTTTTGAATAATATTCATAACCGAAAATGGCTTTAGTTAACCGTATGATTTATATTTACTGTATTGTTAATACTGTTTATAACCTAAAACATAATAACTTTGGAAAAATATCGTTTTTAAATGTCAGTATGAAGGATACTTTTTTGATTTTCCTAAACCTTTCCTATTTTTAGTGATTCGTTTAGTTTTAATTAGAGAAGATAAAAGTTCTGCTTTGGAAGCCTTCATTTCCAGTTGGTTTTTTATGTCTTATGATCAAAGTTTACAATATAAATTTATCAGTTTTTTTTAATTGTCTCCAGATAAAAAAAAATAGAAGTAAGATATTTAGTGGTCAAATTCAACCAAAAAGTAAAATGTTTTGGGTACAACAATTAATTACTTTTTATATAATATCAGTACACAAACTGTTTAAATAAAATTATTTGTGCATCACAAGTGATATTGGTCTTCTTTATATGTCAACAGCAAGATTTATTGTAAAATCGTTTATTTGTTAATCTGAAGCGATTTTCTTAGTGAATACAAAGGGGGTTTTAAAAATTTACAAACATCCTACCATGAGCATTTTCTAAGACATTTTAAGAATGTTATTATATATCTTAGAATTATATTACCTCCTTGACAGCCAAGTTGGATATTTTTATAGGGAATAGTTCTTCACAGCTCGATGGTAAAGAGAAGACACCCTCTTCCTCCTTTTCATCGTAACAAAAATTTTCATCTGTCCAAACTTGTGTCTGTTTTGAAGTAGTGTCTTCTTTATACGTTTTCTCTGTGGAAATGTTTCTATAGTTGGCTTCTTTCAATCTAGTTACAGAATTATGCATATAACTGTTCTGACACTTTTCACCTTCATTGTCTGTCGTAGATACTACAGAAAGTTCTTGTTCTGAAGAAACTAAGTAATTTGGTGTTACTGGTGGAGTGTTTACAGAATGCGACAATTTATTCTGGTGTTCTAGATAACCGTCTTCATCGAGAAATGGGGATAAAGAATCACGAGCTTCTTCAGAGCATGAATAAATATATTCTTTTGATGGTAATGACAATTGATGGGACTTGGTCGTAAAAGTACTTTTGTAGTCGTTTTCAGAATATTTTCCCCTTTGAACAGTTGTGAAAGTTGAATGAATCTTTTTGTTTCTTGTTATTCTTTCATTAGAACTGCACGTTTGTTTCGAAGTTAGTGTAGCTTTCGGTGTCCCCTTTTCTCTTTTTTTATTCATTCCTTTCAATGGTTGATTTTCATTCAATACAGCGTAATATTTTTTATCTGATGAAGAACAGTCACCACTGTCTTCACTAAGTAGGGCATTTTCCTCAAATTCAACAGAAAAAATATACATATCAGTCAATAAAAGCTTAATCTATGCTATCTTTCATTATGTTTTAACTTAGTTTCTACATGAAAAGTACTTTACTGTTGCTCTAATTAATTAACTTCAGTATACAAATATGAGAAACTTGAACATCTGACAAAAGACAATACATTTTAGATTCTTACTGCGAATAGAAAAATGATAAATTCTGTCAATGATTATTCATGTAAATTACACCACTGCTATTTCATTGATGCATTTTAAACAAAATTGAGTATTGTGGTTCAGTTGGCCAGCTGAGTTCTGATACTGATAAAAGTATCCAAACAGTAGTGACTTGTAATAAATGAAATGTAGAAAAAATTTTATTAAACGAATACTTCTCTTTATTTGAACCATTATTTTATTATTTTTGTAAGCACACATATCAAATGTTTTTACCTCTTTTACTTAAATAAGAATTTTTAAAAGATTTCGTTTATCTAGTTTGTATGCAGTTTTAGCATGTTATGCAAACATTTGGTAATAATATGCTTAAATACATTAGACCTAGCAAGAATTACAACAGTCATATTGGCTATTTCGACAAAGTTTAGAGCCAGCACATTATGACCTTGTTGTATACCAGTCTACAGGGCCATAAGGCGTCGTAGAGACATCATGCAATTAAAAAATACGTTCTCATTAGCTTGTTCGGCAACGTGTTGAACCAAAATTCTATGCTTGCTATATACATATACTATTATAGGCAGAATTATAGAATTACCATAATTCATATATAAAACATACTATCATAGATATAAATTCAACTATGACAAATTGACTAAAAGGAAAGGCTTACTTGTTCATATCCAAATTGTACTAAAATAGGGCACCAATATTTAACTTCACCATACCCTAAAATAAAATCTACGCTCATTTATTAATAATAATTTTGTTGTTAGCTAATAAATATTCGTGAACTTTTTATGTTTTGTAGTTTCATATTACTATGAATGTTTTCAAAGGGAAAAATGTACGGCTCAATTGGATTGTTGTCCATATTTAACCAGTTCGAAGACAGAGTATAATTGTTACTGATAACACCTTAGCTACAAGAGGTAAAAAAAAAAAACACTTATCAAATAATGTTATTCATCACTGCTCATTTAACTGGTATACAAATTAGGCATTTCATGATCACTCATGGGATTTGAAATCCAAATGACTGGTAAGCTAGCCTATACTACTAAATTAACAATTAGTATAGGTGGTTTGTTTACATTTTTATAATTCATGACATTTCACTTCTATTGATGGAGTATGGTTACCACGAAAAGCAAGGCCAGCCAGGCACTGATGTTACATACTTAAAATCAGTGTTGATAGAGTTCTGAGATATTCTGTATCGCTCCTATGGAAGAACTACTTTCAGAGCATCTTTACAGTAAGTCATTTGGTAAGATGTGACGTGTCCTTTACACGCCTGACGAAACTGAAATTTGTTAAGCGTGCAAGCCATTCCATTCGATGTATCAAAGAATGTAGTTGTCCAGTGAGGAACAACAAGACACATATTTGTCCATCTAATTCTAAACCAAAGTAAAACTGTTAACAAGCTCAAAATCAGTCCTTATCATTCATACAATTCTCAAGCTTTCTCTTAAACTCACTTAAGTTTACTGCCTCTACAACACCCGAAGGCAACCCATTCCAAAGGTCAATTACCCTGTTAGAAAAATAAAACTGTCTTAGCTGAAGATGACTCCCACCTTGCCAAAATTTATGTGTGTGTCCCCTGGTCCTACTATTCTCACTGTTAAGTATGAAGAAAGATGATACATCAACACTATCAATTCCCTTTACAATCTTAAACACCACAATGGGTGTTACATAATGCAACAACTAGAGGGTAACAGAGAGTGTCCTGCACATGTAAAACCATATTTTCTGGTCACATTCATGCCTAGATGTTGAACAATGGTGTAGAAATTTAACACATGTACTATCCAGACGAAAAACCAGCTGCATCAGGAAAAATTACATAATACAACGTTCTGGGACAACATGAGACCTATTGGTCCATCTCGGCTGTTCCATATTCTAAACTAAACTAAAACTATTAACAAATAAATTTTAAAAAATCTTAAATCCAGCCCTTATCATTCATATACTTATCAAGCTTTCTCTTAAACTAACTTAAATTTACTGCCTCTACAACATCCAAAGGCAATCCATTCCAAAAGCCAACCACCCTGTTAAAAAAATAAAACTGTCCTAGCTGAAGATGACTCCTAACTTGCCAAAATATATATTTCTGTCCCCTGGTTCTAATATTCTCACTGTTAAGTATGAAAAAAGATGATACACCACTATTATCAATTCCCTTTACAATCTTCAACACTTCAATCAGATCCCCTCTAACTCTTCTTTTTTCAAGAAAAAACAATTTGAGAGATTTCAACATCTCCTCGTATGACAACCCCTCCATCCCAAACATCATTCTAGTAACCCTCCTCTGAAACATTTCTAACAATTTCGGGTTCTTCCTAAGGTAAGTAGCCCAAGACTAAACACAATACTCTAAATGTGGCCTAACAAGTGACTTATACAGTGAAATGATAACCTCTTTAGGCTTGTAATCAGTATTTCTGTAGATACAACCTAAAATCCTTTTTGCCCTACCACTGGCAAAACCACACTGCTTGGATGACTTAAGAGACTGATCAACCACTACTCCAAGATCCGTTTCTTTCATGACACTGTTAAGGTTAATCCAATCAAAATTATACTTATTATTCAAATTATGATAACCCACCTGCATTATCTTACATTTATTATAATTAAAACCCATTTGCCATTTATTTGCCCAACTCACTAAATCATTTTGTAAAGTAGCAGCATCCTCTTCATAGCCAACAACACCCAAGCCTTAATATCATCAGCAAATTGAAGTAATTTATTGACCATTCCTTTACTTATGTCATTGATGTAAATCAAAAGAAACAAAGGTCCTAAGACTGAGCTCTGAGGTACCCCACTTGTGACTTTAATCCAGTTTGACTGAATTCCATATATAACAACCCACTGCTTTCTTCCATACAATTAGCTAACGTATCCCCCCACAACTATACAGATAATTTTTTAAAAGCCTTTTATATGGCACCTTGTCAAATGCTTTCTGAAAATCCAGATACATTAAATCTACAAACTTACCTTCACCTACAAAAGCAGTAGCCTTTTCAAAGAATATCGAAAGATTTGTAAGGCAAGATTTTTCCTTAGTGAAACCATGTTCACCATCCAATAAAATTCTACACTTTGTTAAATGACTTTTTAAAGCATCTTTTACCAGACTTTCCAAAACTTTTCCTACAACTGATGTAAAACTAATAAGCCTATAATTATTGGGTCAATTTTTATCACCTCCCTTCAAAAGAGGAGAAATATTAACCACCTTCCAATCCTTAACCTCCTTCAAAGCTTTTGGGAAAATATCATCTGGCCCAGGAACCTTATCGTTCTTTAAATTTCTCACATTTTTCTTTATAGGCTCAGAATTAATGTGATATTTTTTATCTTGTTTCTGTCTATCAACTGTTCAAGGTGGGGAATATTGCTTAAATCTTAATTAGTAAAAATTGAAGAAAAAGGAGAATTTCATAACCCAGCCATCTCATAATCATCAGATACGAGCCTTCATTTATCATCCCTCTAAAGTCCAACCCCATCCTAACATTTTGTATACCTTCATGTATTTAAAGAAATCCTTGCTGTTAATTTTTACATTTTCAGCCGACTTTTTTTCGTGCTTCTTTTTTGATGTCCTAACTTCCTGTTTGACCAACTTTTCTTGATCTTCTATAATCTTCTAAATCTCCCATCATACCAGTCAATTTAACTTTCTTACATTTGTGGTGCTTTTCTCTAATTTTATCCCTTGCGCCCTTTTGAAAGCTAACCTATTTTACTTGCAGCGATCATTTTCTTTGTATAAGAAATATGTAAGAAATATTGTATCATGAATATTTAAAAAAATTATCTTTAAAATTTCCACATTTGGTTAGTTTCTCCAAATAACTCAAATAATTTTTGTCGCATCTCTTCAAAATTTACTTTTTTGAAACGTGTAAACAAAATATCACTATTCCTAATGTCTATATGCAGCAAAACATCGAACCTAACAGAGCAATGATCACTTGCACCCAGATGCAACCACTTCTATATTAGAAATTAAAAATAAATCTAAAATAACATTGTTTCTAGTAGGTTTCTTGACCAATTACTGAAGAAAACCATCTTGAACAGTTTTTAAAAACCTTTGTCCTTCATGGCTTGACTCTAGCATTTTCCAATCTATGTGCATGAAATCAAAAATCACCCATAATTATGACATTATTAACAGCTGAAATCTTAATCTCATTGTAAAGTTTCTCGTTAATTTCCTCAGTACCATCTGGTGGTATGTAACAGATCCCCACTAAAAACCTTTTCCCTTTATATCCGCTAATAGAAACCCAAATGGATTCAATCTCCTTGCTATTCTCTTTGATATTCTCAATTTCGACAGAATGTAACTCACATTTTATATGTATATAAAACCACTCCTCCCCTCTCTTTAGTAATCTATCCAAATTAAATAACCTAAAACCCTGAAATTTCTGTCATCAAAATCATCTACATTTAACTATGTTTCAGTTATTCCTATTATATAGAAATCCTCCATTCCAGCACTCTAAGTCATCTATTTTATTTCTTATACTTCTTGCATTACAATAGTAACAATTAAGCCTACCTTTTGCCAGTCCCTACCCTATTTAAGTGCAAACCATCCATTCCGGAAAGCTCCCTTCTCCTATTATACTGATCCCACAAGTCTAACCAGACAATCTACTCATCCTTACATATTAACCTAAGACTAGCTAGCATTAAGCCCAAGTGACCTGCTTGCAATTTCTTTCCCACAAATAATTTTCGGTAGTATACCTGACACAATTAAGTTATGTCCCTTTTCTTTAAATGTCTTTATCAACCCCTTGTACTTATCAATTAGTTTCTCTGATCTAACTTTCCCTACATTATTAGCTCCTACTGCCAGTTGTATCCTCCACCCGTGCCCCTGGGTAGAATAATCTCATTATTTCTCCCTATTTACCCCACAGACTATCTTACCTACACACTTTGTCAAAGAATCACCTATCATTGTAACCTCTTTAAGTTGATCATTCACATCCTATTCTGTCCGTTTTGTTTCCCTTCCCTCCAATAGTTACTCATCTGCACAAGCCAAGGGCTGAAATCTGTTGCTCAATAGAACATACTCATTACAGTTAAATCCACTACTTTTAGCCCTAACAGTACTGTTTCTAACTTCATAAATGTCATTGTTAGCTAATGTATTCCTTGCATGTAAAAGCTTAGGTTTCTCGTGAAATCCCCACAGTTTAAACTTCTCTTAATATACTGCCTTTACTTTAATTAGGATAGCCTCCAACCAGCAGACTCTACAAACAAATCGCACATCTTCACTGCTAACTTCCTTAAAAGTTCCTACCAGTCCCAAGTAAAACCCACTCATTGCACCTAACAAAGTGTGAACGCTTAACTCCTACTTACATGGGATTTAGTCCAAAGATACCAAGCAGTGGTATAGACAGTTTTCGATTTCACTGTGTTTTCACGATTTTTCTGGTGTTAAATGTGGCTATGTTGGGATTGCTTGGGGGAAACATACTGCATTCGCCCACGAATATTGGCCTCTATGACAATTTTAATCCCTTTATTTTAATTTGTTAGTAAACAATTATAGTATAAAATAAAATACATTTCATGCCGGCCTCACATCTCGTCTCTATAGAAAAAGAAAACAGCATGAGAACAGAGCAATTATCTTATCTTATCAACTTAAGAAACGTCCCACCTCCCCCCCCCAAAAAAAGGAATAATAGTGTATTAACAATAGTGACTTTTTGTTTAAAGCTGGGGTTTACCATCCCGATTTCTGATAGTGAACATTATCTAGAAGGTATATTGTTTATTTTATTGGAACGTGATTTTTTTTTGTATGAATAATGTGTCGTTTCTAAGGAAACCTTCGTCTTTGGGCCAATTATTAGGTGTTTTTTTTTCTTTTCTTTTTGCAGTTCTGCTGAGAACATTTTAAACACAATGACTCACTTCAATGTATCACTGAAACAAGTTTGTGTGAGAACACTGTAAGGTATATATATAAATATATATATAGCGCAGGCTGAATGATCAACCATTTATATTTCAAATCATATGACTTATCATCAGGTAATTGATCTGTATAACGATGATCTGGGAAATTTTGCCTTATCATATCTATAATATCATAAATGCCGATTATTTTTTAATTGTTTTGCACCGTGTATAATCGAATATGAGTTTAGCCTGATGTGTGGCATTTCATGTCATAAAATGGTCATTCTTACAATAACTTCTATAATAAATATAGTATAATATGAGGTGTTGTTTATTATGCAACTGATTTCAAAATATAACCCATTCATTTAATATATGCTGATGCTTAGACAATTAGAATGAACCAAAATACTACTTATTCATTTGTAGGTAAAAAGTGGTTGGAACACTCGACTCACAATTTGAGGGTCGAGGGTTCGAATACCGTTACCTAATGTGCTCCCTTTTTCAGCCGATGGGGACGTATAATATGATAGTTAATTCCAATATTCGTTGGTTAAAAAGTATCCCCAAATTCGGCAGTGGCACAAGCTGTCTTCCCTCTAGTCTATCACTTCAAAATTAGGGACGGGAAATACAATAAACATACAAATGCGAAAAGCAAATACAAAAAGAAAGTTGTAATTTAGTATGAGTTTAGTTCAGAACATATACTTTTTTACAACTTACCGATACATGTTCTAATGGTGATCTAGGAAATGAGTAAGTGTCTTCGGTAGGTTTTTTCAATGGAGAACATATTTGTCTCAATCTTGAAATAATGTCATACACAAAAGTGGAGCTTGCGCTTGCCTCTGCTACTGGTGGTGATATACTACAATCATTAAGTGGTGTTGATTCCTCATCAAGCAGTTCATTTATTGAGGGCAGTTTTGATGAAAAAGTATTTACTTGCTGCTCTACAAGTGCCTCTTGGTTCAATTCTGGGATTTCTTCCTTATCAATAAATTCTTCATCATTAAGTAAATCTTCGTTCACGTCTTTTCTAGTAGATTTAATTTTATCCGCACATCTCAATGAAGCCAGTACAGGCGATAAAGTAAGTTTATTTGACGTCATTACGGGTGTTAAATTACATTTTTTAAAAGGTAGTGTGTCAATGGCACCGTAAGAGCAGTCAGTTTCGACCGATTTTTCGGAAAAGGTTGTTTCAGAAATTTCAGATTCCTTATCATGTTCAAATTCTATAGGCATAAATGATTCTAACTCATTATTTTCATTTACATTATTTAAAAACGCAAGTCGACATGCTGAGGTCAGGCCAGTAGCTTCAGACGAATCTTTTAATTTTTCTTTTTTGTTATTTTTCTTTCTTTTTTTCTTCTTTTGTACATTTTCTTTCTCAAACTGCTCTGGTTTACGACGTTTCCTCTCTGGAGTTGAAAATAATTCAAAATCTGATGTTTCTGAAATGTCCACGCTGTCTGAAAAATGAGGAGAATACACACCGTATGAAGCATAATTTTTGTTTTTTGATAGCTCTGTTTCACCTCGGTTCTTTAAATTACAACTTAAAGTTTGCTCAACTAGACATAAATCATTATTTTCCTTCAGGTCGCATAATTTTTCCGGCCTCTTTGTACTAACAAAGTTACCATTTTCATGCCATATTTTCCAGTTTACATTTTCATTTGAAAGGAGATGACCATTTTTATGAACTTTCACAATGGGGAGTTTGAAATCTTTAATACCATTATTTTGTTTTCTTATAACACCAAAAACGTTCTTGTCTTTTAAACGGTTGTTTTCTCTTTTCTTTCGTTTATGTAGTACTTCTGAAGCTGAATTACAATCTTCGTCCTGAAGCTCAATTTCATTTTCAAACTCTTCAAAATCATAATTACAATAGTGATAGTCTGTTGTTTTATTTTTTGTATCATTTCTAGATTCTTTGCCCGCTGTGATCTTTTCACGTACCTTCTCTTTCTCGTCATTGTTTATAAATAAATCACACTTAACTTTATCAAAATACTCTTTCCTGCTTTCTGTTTCGTTCGATTTTTTGGATATATTTTTTTGTAAAGGCTCTAATGAATTATGAAACGATTTCTCTTCTGATGTGTTCAGCTGAATGAAACTTGCATTTCTATCATTTTGAACTACATTATTTTCACCCTCTTTTTCTTTTTCTGTTTGTGTATTTAATGCACCAAGTTTATTAGATTTCAAAACATCTTTATGATTTTTTTCAAGATCTTGTCTAGACTGGAGAACATATTCGGTATCGGAATCACTCTCAGATAAATTGTAATAACCTGTGAGTATATGTCTCTGTGTTTCTTTGTTAGTGTGTTTATTGTAACAACCTGTGAGTATATGTCCCTGTGTTTCTTTGTTAGTATGTGTATTGATGTTATCAGGTTCGCAATTCTTGTAGCTCCATGTACACTTACCAGACAATAAGTTATCAAAAGAACCTACTTCTGTTTCAGAAAAAGATCCATTTTTTCGCAAGTTTGGATGATGCAACTTTTGATAGCTGCGTTTTCCTAACTGTTTGATGTTTACAGGTTTATTTTCTTTTTCCTTTAAAAAACTCTCCTCTTTTTCATTGACGTTATAGTTCAATTCGCTTAAATTGAATGCATTTCCTGAAGTTAGAAAACCTGATGAACTTTCTTTGTTAAGATTACATTTCTCCATATCGGATTTCCGCAATGAATGCCGTTTAGAATGTACTTGTTCAGGATTCTTATAACAAATTTGTTTTGTAGAGACATCACTGACAGAGTTTTCGTGATATGATATTTCTTTTCGCTGTCTTAAAACATATTTTTTCCCATTACCACTTGACAATTCCTCTTCAACAGTGTTGCTTGGAGATGACTGAGGACTTGAGACTGGAAAGTCTACCGGCGTAAGAGAAGGTGACTTTTCTTTAACTCGTGGTTCTTCTAAAAAACTCACTTTCCTCCGCAAAACTCTTTTCTTCTCGCTGTCTCTATAATTTTACGTCGTGATATATGTTTAACCAAACATAAATGTACACTGAAATACGATACATATATACAAATTATCTATAATCTATATTATGGAGGTATTCTTAATGATTTTATCAACATTTTTGACAGTGTCAATTGAGTTAAAAATTAAGCACACAAAACAAAACATGCTCTATAAACTTTAACATACTGTAGTTTGCATACTCTTCACTATATTTTTTTTACAAATTTAATATCAAAGATAAAAGAAGGATTGAAATATAAGAAAGCATAACTTTCTATAATTTCCTTTTTTTACTCAATACCTCCAAATCTTTTATCTTAGATTTGTTAACTTCAAACACCTTAGTATTAGAGTGACAAAGTAAACTAATTTCCTTTTATTTTTTCATGAGTTGTATCACTTAAAGCTTTAATTGAAAAGTAGGCCTTCAACTAGGTATCAAGTTATATTTAGCCTGCAAAAATATTAAGAAGCATGCTTAATCGGTATTTAGGTATGAGCAAAAACACATAATTGATTAAAGTGAATATAAAGAAGGTTATAAAGCCTAACTTTATATTAAATTTTGCCACATTTAAAGGTATGCAATAATTAACATTTTATATAGACAGATAAGTATTAAGGTAAAACAATTTCAAGCAGCAGATACAGCCAGTATAGTGACGAGTGTTTTCAGCATTTTGCAGTACAAAAACTAGTTTCTGTTTCTGATATAGAAATCTATGATAATCATCAAATTGCGTAAAATGATCTGCTTAACTTAGGTTAATTTTCATAATTTAGAAATATAGATTCAAAATTATCTATTCTGATATTTCTTTTCATATTTTTTTATATTTGAATAAACAGTATGAAATTCAAAGTACGATTCATTAAATTATCTTTACTCTATGTGAACTCACTTTTCAATATAGATAAGTGACACACGGCATTCAAGTATATGGTTGAGACAGAGAAAAAAGGTTATAAACATATCCATAGGCATAGAGAAGGCTTTATCTATGTAAAAATCTGATAATACTGTATGTGCAATAATGTGGTTAAAAATGTTCAGAATTGTATGCTTTTAAATAAATCAAGTATGATGTTAGTTTCAATAACGTCACACTATAGAACTTCAAAAGTGTTACTTTTAAAATTAAAATCACAATAAAGAAG